GATTACTTCTCTCGACCAGGATGAGGTGCCTTCTGTCTCGCGTCATGAGCTCTCAAAACTCGTCCTGTCAATGCCCATGGATACCTTGAAAGAGCAGGTAGAGAATGATAAGGGGCTTCTGCTTCGTCATACCCTGGTGGAGAAGCATGCCTCGGTCAAGATGTTGACCAGCTACCGCGATGCACACCTGTACATTCTGCCTAAGTGGGTTCGATCGCTCGCACAGCACCAGGAGCGCTTCGAATCCGTAAGTGAGGACTTGATCGGCTACTGGGCGAAAGCGGGGTGGCAGCGTGGACTGAGCGCCAAGCTCGGCATCGATGAGATCGTGGGCGGACAGAAGGAGACTCAAGATGATCATGGAAGCAATGATGGTGACTCTTTGGAGGAGGAAATCGACCTTCGCAGCATGACCACTACGCACGCTCAGGGTTCCGAGTCCCGCAGCACGAAATCTACCGAGTCCTCTGTGGAAGTTCCGCCCATCCTCGCATACACGACCAAGTCGTCCAAGCAACTCATTCGGCGCGTGGACAGTGCCGCCCTGGTGTTGGCCATGTCCCTGCGTCTCGCCAAGCTCGAGTCAGTCGAAGAGGTTGGCCGCGCTGCTGCCTCGCCATTCAGTCACGCCGCCAAGATTGCTACTCCGGAAGCAGTCGCTTCGAAGTCTATCGTCACGAAGGGCGATTGCTTGTTGGGGTCCAACGTAACGGTAAGCATATTGAACTTTCAACTATCATTATCTCAACACTAACGTCTTGCAAAGGTCGAGGAAAAGTGTGTCATCAAGGAGTCCTGCATTTCGGCCAACGCCAAGATCTGCAGCGGCGCACGTCTCACGAGGTAAGCTCCACGGATTTATGTCCATTTCCTAGTCTCTAACATGAGTCAGGTGTGTCATCATGGACAACGCAGTCATCGGACCCAAGTGTGTCCTTACAGGATGTATCGGTAAGTCTTCTACAAGATAAATGACTCTAGGAAATAAGGACCGTGATTGACAATTACATAGTCGGTAGATACAGTCAGATCGGAAAGGATTCCGTACTCAAGGTGCGTCTGAATAATGCTAACCCATGTATCATAAGTTCCTTACTAACTTCTTTTACAGGACTGTGAAATCCAAGATGGCGTCGTGGTTGAGGAAGAGACCGATGCTAAGAACGAGCAGTTCATGAGCTTCGAGGGACTCGACGACGAGGATGATGATATGGACATTGATGGAGAAGGCGATAGCGGTGATGATGAGGGGTTCTAGATTAGCTGGATTGTATAGTATCTAAGTAAATACTTATCAGCATAGTATATATGATCCTACTACATTATGTCTTCAAATAGATGAGATGACGAGTCATTCACCTCCTGTTCTATAGATGGATGTTTCGTGTAGAAGAGATGGCTAAAATTGATCTAAAAACACCCAGATACTATGAATATTGGGAATGATGCAACTGGAGAAAATTACCAGGAAATAAAAATGCGCTTAATCATAGACATCATCACAATTACTATTGGTGAGGATAGAAAAGACACCCCTTCTGCCCTTCTGCATGTAGTCTGAACCTCATGCTAGGAGACCAAGAGCAAGGATAGCATTCAAGTCATCCGTTAGTATAAGAATCAAACAAAACAGCAAATCAAACAACAAGAAGGGCCGGTAGCTCAGGGGTAGAGCGTGGGACTGCAGATCTTAAGGTCACGCGTTCAAATCGCGTTCGGCCCTTTCTTTTTCTTTTTTGCCGCTTTCTCCTCTTTGTCCTCGAAATTCCTTATGGCCAATTAAGACGAAGAGAATTCATTCAACACCTCTTTCTTTCTTTCTTTCTTTCTTTCTTTCTTTCTTTTCTTTTTTTTGGCTCATATGACTACATCTATATTTAATGCTTTTCTGGTGAGAGTGATACCACCCTAGTACTAGTAGTCTCACTCTAGGAGTACCACGGGTTGGGGGGTACAGCGGAAGTATATATCCGAGCGGAGCAATCCTTCTGATTGAATGGGTGAAGTTCAATGATTGCATAGTGCTTACAATATAATCTATCAGAGGGGCCAATTATTGAAATCATTACTATTATCACAATTATCAAGTCAAGCGAGATGTAGTATGCTCTTCTTTCCGCCTCGCAGTGGCTAATTCAATGATTCGGAGTAGAGCATGCAGCGCACAGCTATCCCTTCCGAGTACTAGTCATCGATAGAACGTAAAAACTGGCTTATATACTACTCGAGAATTCTCCGCGGCGTACAGACCGGAGCAATTACTAGGATTCACAGCTTAGCGAACATAATCCGCTACTACTTAAGAGAAAAAATCATTGAAGATAGTCCATAACATTTTATCATTACTAGCGAGCCCATTACACCCCCCTTAATGAGCAGCAACAACACCCGCCTCATTAGCCTGAGAGCTAATCAACTTCTTATAAGCATTGACAGTGCCATCGAACTTATGCACCGTACCGTTATCACAAACCCAGAGACTAGTGCAAACGTTCTGCAGCATCGTAACATCGTGAGAGACCATCACCACACCACCCTCGAAGTTCTGCAGCGCCTCGGACAGCGCATCCATACCCTCAATATCCAGATGGTTAGACGGTTCGTCCAGAACCAGGATGTGGGGGTTCGTCAACGACAGACAAGCAAAGGCGACACGGGACTTCTGACCTCCGGACAGGAGCTCCATGCGCTGGAGACCCGTCATACCGGTGATACCGAAGGCACCGAGGTGTCTGCGGTATTCTTCGTCTGTCTTTCCGGGGTAGGTCTTGGCCATGAAGCTGACGGCGCTGGTGGTCAGGTCCAAAGCGTCGACGTGATGTTGGGCGAAGAAACCGACGCGCAGGCGGGCGTGTTGCGAGAGGAGACCCTTTGTCGGTTGGAGTTGGCCGGTGAGGAGCTTCAGCACGGTAGTCTTACCGGCACCGTTGGGACCAACGATACCAATACGCGAATCGAGTTGTACGTCGAGGTCCACGTTGCGGAGGAGGGGACGGTCGGGGGTGTATCCGAAGGCGATGTCGGACATTTGGACGATGGGGGGAGAGAGTTTCTCGACCTCGGGGAACTTGAAGTGCACGACGTAGTCGCTCTCGGGAGCTTCCAGGATAGGCATTCTCTCGAGCTTCTTGATACGGGATTGGGCTTCGGAGGACTTTGCGGCGTTGTAGCGGAACTTGTCAATGAAGGCTTGGAGATGGGCACGCTCGGCCATTTGTTTTTCGTATTCACGCTTGGCGTTCTTCTTGCGCTCTTCCTTGGTGGCGTAGAAGGAGTCGAAGTTGGCGCCCTTGTAGTAGTCGAGACGCTCGGAGTGCTGGTGGATGATGTCGGTGGCGACTTCGTTGAGGAATGCTCGATCGTGAGAAACGACCAGGATGGAACTGGGGTATGTTTGGAGGTAGTTGGAAAGGAAGGTAATGGATGGCACGTCCAACATGTTGGACGGTTCGTCCAGCAGGAGGAGATCGGGTTCGCAGAATAGGGCTCGGGCAAGAGCCAATCTCATACGCCAACCTCCGGAGAAGGTCTTCGTCGCGAATTGCTGTCTCTCGGGCGAGAAACCGAGACCAGCCAGGATACTGGCGGCGCGGGACTCGGCCTTGTCGGATTCCATTTCGGCGAGTTTGGAGTGGATGTCGTTCAGTGTGATGTCGAGACCCTCGCGCTCGTGGTCCAGACGGGCGGCATCCTTGGAGGTGTCTGCCATGGAGGATCGCTCTGCTTCAATGTCGGCCAGCTGCTTGGTGATCTTCTCCAGGTCGGCAAGGAGGCGTTTGCGCCATACGTCGGCGTCAAGGACGGCCTGGAGAGCGGGTGTGTCGTCTCCTGTGATTTCCTGCTCGACGTGAAGAATGGAGATGTGGCTGGGAATGGCGACTTCTCTGCGACTGAGTGCACGCAACAGCGTAGACTTTCCGATACCGTTCTGACCGACGAGACCGTAGCGACGACCATACGCCAGGGTAAGGGAAGCGTCTGTCAAGATACGGTGACCACCGACGGAAATGTCGATGCTGTCCACCTTGATGTCCTTGCTCTTGGACTGGGAGTCCGAGCCCAGTTGAAGAGGGTTGACAGCCATGAAGAACTCTTCGTAAGACATAGTACTGTCGGGCTGGTTGAGGAGACGGGATGATTCGTATTGCACCGTCTTCATCTGCTTCTTCTCCTGCTTGGCACGAATCTTGCGTTCGGCCTTCTCGAGCTTCTTGCGGTCGACCTTAGACTCGACCTTTCTGGCATTAGCCGACTCCAGATCGACGTTACCTCCGGCCAGACCCAGAGTAGAAGACATGTTGCGTTGGGAGCCGACATTGATGGCCTGGTCGAGCTTCTTGGCGGCAAAGGGCATCTGGCGACGCTCGGCGTCGACTCCATCAGCGGCACTCAACGAGGAGATGAACTTTTCGACCAAGTTGCGGATGGCCTGTTCATTCTCGGAGGTGAAGTCACCCGATGCGGAGACGAGGAGCTCGGTGACCATATCGGCCGCTTCGGCCAGTGGTGACGGAGCGTTGGCATCTTCAACATAGGCCTTGGAGGCATGGGTCAGGTACCCCACGGAGTACTCTGATACCACGCGGTCGAGACCGGGGATCTGTGCTTGGAGTTCCGACTCCATTGTGGACAGTTGAGCGTGGATCACCCTGGATTGAGCGGGGGGAAATGGACCCGGGTTGGGACACTTGTCGCTGGGATGGAGGCGAAAGGTGCCAACTCCGTGCAGATACAGGGTTCTAGATGATGCAGGGATATAAGCAACACTAGTACGTGTCCACTGCAATCCAGACGATATTTAATCGTGTTTCTACTGATATCTAAATGGATACCCACGGGCCTCCGTCATGTGTTGTAAAATTAGAGTTTTCCCGACCCCGGCGCCCCACGGGCACGTGATCATGGGGTATATACATTGTTTCTTAAGGAGTGGACATTTTCAGTTCACTCTTGTGGATTCAATATGTATTAGCATGCAGAGACTTTCCTGGGCGAAATATTTACTCGGGCGCCATCAGCCCAGACTGGAAGCTCAGCAGCGGATGGTCAGCGAGACTCTCCCAGAACCCAATCTCAAAGTCTAAGGATTCCTGATAAGGAAAGCTGGACCATTCAATAAGGTTCGGACTGCGGGGTGTCATGTCTGACACAGGGTGCATGGGCTCAGAAGTGACTGAATCCAGGAAGCTCTGGATCGTTTGCATGGCCTTGGACATTAGCTCATAGTTGGGTTCTTGAGGCCGAATGATCGATCCGGCTTGAATCTCCGCAGCGAGGATTGTCAGGTGCTGGAGTGTTCGGGGTCGTGTTATACGGGGCATGCTGGGAGTGGCACGCTCGTTGAGAAGAGCCAGTAGGAGGATTCCCGCAGCGGGGAGACAGTGATAGGCGACCTGCTCAAATTACAGTTACCTCAAGGCTACAGTACCAGCTGGGCAGAGAATTAAACACATACCTTCCACAGGAGACATGTTCCCGAGTTTGTAAGTTGGTCACGCAGGAGAACCATGTCCACTGCGACTGAGAGGATCTGTTCGGCGATGTCCACAAGTGTGGGATCTGGCTCAGTAGGGATACTTAGCAGAAGGAGATTCAGCAGGAAGAGCGCGTGCAAGTGATTCAGCTGCACTGAGCCAATAAAGTCGCGTTCGAAGGTGCTCAGAGTACTGTCTCTGAGATTGTTGCGGAACTGAAAATGCGCAGGCAGTGAAGAGTAATTCTTTTCAGCCCGAGCTTTTATATCGCTGGTATCGTCAGCAAACACACGAGTTCGCTTTATTGCAAAGTAAACCTACGCTACCCGTTGATAGAAAAGTTCCATGTCACTTGGCCGGCTTCTCTGCAAGTTGAGTATGTCCTCTTTAACCCCAGCGCACAATGCAGTCCATCGAGTCTCAGCCATATAGCTCGCTTTAGTCGACGGGTCCCAGCTAAAAGGATCATTGATCTCATTATCCAGCTTTTCAGAGGAGATAAACCAAATGTCATCGGGAAGCGGACTTGATGGAATCTGGAAATAGCAGAACTGTCTATTCATGCGAGGCGGTCGACCGACAAAGATGGCAACATTTTTGTCCGCCGAATACACGCGCGCGAAGACAGCCTTGCGTAGCTCGGTCAAGAAGCGAGGTGTATCGGGCTTTTCATCCAGGTTCTCATGGTAGCCTAGAGCATATATTGAGGATATAACATCTCCGAGCTTTCGCCATGAATAGTAGCCTGGACGTAATTAGCTCTTCATAAATGAGGCGCATTCACCTGCGAAACGTACTATGGTCCCCGTCTACATGGGAATGCACGATGAAGTTCTCATACTGTAAGCAGACTTGAAGGTCATTCAAACAGTCGAGGGATATAGTAATTTCCAGAGCATAGTCCGCTAATCTCGTGCATAGCTTTCTAAGGCTATACTTCTTCTCCTCGGTCGTATACAGCGACGGGAAGAACTGGATATCCATAGTGGCGCGAACCACAGCTGACAGGAAGATCGCGAGTGTTTCCCATCGCATATTCTGATTAATGAACTGAGCACAGAAATCGGAAAATTTAGAGTGCTGAGAGTATCTAAGCGGCTGGGAAGAATTAGTGAGAAGAGATTTCGCATATAATAGATGCCAATCTTCGTTTGTTGATGAGGGTGGTAGGGGAATGTTATCAACACATTGATCAACCATAGCCCCCATAATCGCAAGATTCGTTCCCCTTGCCCGCCACAGCTTTACTAGCTCTTTCATAGCAGGCAAGGAAAACCTCGTCAGGAGCATTTTGAGGGCATCTGTACATCGCTGGACGACGAGATCATCGTCAGGCGGGAAAAGAGATGCTGTCCACGAAGCGGTGTTAGGGCTCAAAGGAGATGTAGCACTTTGACTATCTGATGAAGTTATATGTTTGAATATGGCGACATGGCTGGACGACCCAAGATATCCTGGGTTGGGATATCTATTTCCTCCTGCATGAGGTGGAGATGATGCTGGGGGTGATGGGTCTGGAGAGCTAAAAGTGGTCACACCCAATGGGGTGATTAGGTCTTAGCCGATGTATACTTGAAAGGTACAAATGATTAGGAACACCATACTGATGATAAGATCTATGCTCTGTCACCGCATTGCTAGTCTTTCGTCTTTTGAACGGCGCACTCCTGTAGATACAAAGACCTGGTCGGTTGCCATCCCTACACCGATTGCAGACTGGCTGTTGATGATCGCACGCAAGCTTGGACCTTCTGCAAGGCTCACATGCGGCTAATCTAGTTGCCATTGTAATCGCAGATAATATGGTGCAATTACTGCATTGACACCCTCGAGGGTGGACCGGCGAGTACGGAGAGGCGTGGGTAGCGTTATCGGAGTCTCGGAGCGGGGTAAATGAGTAGGCCGAGACATAATACTTCCCCGATAGAAGAGACAATTAAAAGGCTCAAGCTGGTCTTGCTCGAGTAATTACTTTGGTCACTACATAAGTGGGGCTCTGTAAACTTGCAATTGATACTACTAACATTCATTGGCAGGCTTGGTCGGTCACTGCGAATATATTACTATATGAACCATATAGTGGGCCGCATTAAATTCATATTAATTCTACTCCCAGTGAGGCTACTGAAGCACATACATCTAGCACTATAGTTAGTCAAACAAATTAAAGACCGGTTAGAACTCTCCAAAGTAGACATAATAGAAAAGCGCGATAAGCGTAAGACAACGAGACCCGGAGAGATCGGAGTGTTCGAGTACATCACTCCGATCTCTCCGCCATCAAGATAAGTGATGTCTTGTCTTTCCCAGAATTATAAGAGAAGACAAGAACCCTTCACATCATGAAGTACATTTTGAAAACCCTCTAGACAATATCTTCAACCTCATAATGACGCGCCTACAGTCCACTGAAATCAAAGCCCTTCGTGCTGCGGCGCCCCCTCTCCCTCTCATTCCTGCCCCAGCCGTCTCCTCCGATGAGTACAAATCACCATACAACCGTACAAAATCACCAGCAAAAAGATTCGACCACCATTTCAGCCTCGAAAGCCGGAACTTCACCGGGTCAGCGTTGAAAAAGGGCTCCAGCCCAAGCGGCCCGCGCAAGATCATATCCTTGGGAACGGGTCGACCAACAGCGGACTATTATCCTTGGAAATCTATAACCTTGAATGAGCCTCCAAGTAAAGCTACACCAAAACCCAATCCACAACTACCAAAAGGACAGGAACAATGCCACTCAGCGCACACCATATCCAAACAAGGTGCAACATACAACCTCTCAATCGCAATGAACTACTGCCTCGCAAACGGATCAGCACACTTACTCCGATTCATCACGGAGCACGTTGAGCTCGTTCACAATCCCCCTTATGCAGACTGGGCAACGTTCCTCTCTTGTGGAGCGACTGCCGCGACGGAGGTGGCGTTTCGCATCTTCTGTAATCGCGGGGACACCATTCTAGCGGAGCAATACACGTACCCCGGAACGCTGGAAAGTGCTGCGTTGAATGGGGTTAACGTCCAGGGGATTCAGATGGATGCGGATGGCTTGCGACCTGATGTCTTGGATGAGGTACTTTCCTCTTGGGATGATGCTCAGTCTCCCAGGCCGCGCGTGCTGTATACTATCCCAACGGGTCAGAATCCGACAGGAGTTAGCCAATCGCTGGAAAGGCGCAGAGCTATCTATGATATTGCAGAGAAACATGACCTTGTAATCATCGAGGATGATCCGTACTATTTCCTGAGGATGGGTCCTTACCGAGATACTCATGGAAAAAATGGTGCTGAGGCTAACCAATCTGCCTCTGATAACGAAGCCGCTCAGATCTACCATTCCGAGTCCATCCCCTCCTACCTCACCCTCGACACATCCGGCCGCGTGGTACGCCTCGATTCGGCATCCAAGATCATCGCTCCCGGATTACGTGCAGGCTGGGTCACTGCACCTAGGCAAATCATCGATAAGTTCACCGCATACCAGGAACTAAGCACTCTAGCTGTTAGCGGCCCCTCCCAGCTAATGCTGTGGCATCTGCTCGATGAGAACTGGGGGCATGATGGATTCACCGCGTGGCTTGTTCACCTCTCGCGAGAGTATCGATGGCGGCGGGATGTGCTTCTTGATGCTTGCAACAAGTACTTGCCCAGGGAGGCTGTGCAGTGGAATAAACCGGAATTCGGCATGTTTTTGTGGGTTAAAGTTGACTGGACACGGCATCCTCGGCTTAAGGGCTTGTCTGAGTTGTCGCTGGAGGAGGTTGGTGCGCAGATAGTTGGGTTGGAGGAGAGAATCGTTGCTAAGGCTTTGGAGAAGGGAGTGCTTGTGACTAAGGGGTCGCTGTTCGCTTCGAATCATGAACAAAATGGCCATCTGCATTTTAGGATGACGTTCGCGGCTGCGGAGGAGGGGGATCTGAAGGAGGGGGTGAGGTTGTTTGCGGAGGCTGTGAGGGAGGATTTTGGGCTATGAATCTAAGTATATTGATGAATGTCTGAGAAGGCATTGTCAAATGTATTCTATGTGTCTTAAATATCGGCACCTAGTTCGAGGGTGCGCTTCATGAGTTAGGGCTTCGTCAGACGGTAGGGCTTGCACGCCAGGTGAGCGCCGGATGGCTAATTTGGGGTTTGTATTAGGAGAGTTCTATGTAGCAGCAAATGATAGCAGGGCTAAAGATGACCGTGATGCCTTCATTATTAGAGGCGAATTACGAAATCGGAGAGAAGCAAGTAGATTATCGGCCAAAGAGCTAGCTGAGCGCAAGACTGTCCCACTGTGTGTGGCCAATGCATTCTAGTGGTATCTTTCAGAGCATGTAAAATGATACTACTACCCAGAAATTCTCGTTTTTTCTAGGATCCTTATATTGGGTTGGGACGCAAAGAGTTCGCCGTTTGTCGTGTCATGAGCGTCGTAGCAATCGTAAAGGTATCAGCCCTTCCACCCAGAAAGGGAAAAAGGCAGCTTTCTATGGAAAGGCAGATTGGAGCGAAAAAACAAGCAGACATAGAGGAAGTCGTGTCGTGATGTGAGATAGTGTGGACAGAAGGAAGGTTCGAGTATTGTCTGGCCGCGACAACGGCCGAGAACGAACGCAATGCTCAATATTCCATGAGGTAGGAGCGAGGTAATTAGGCTACCAGAATTGGGAATCCTTAGAGCCCAATGATGGGAGATTATAGTCGTTCAGCCCAGTAAGGTCTTCCGGGAATTCTGGTGCCTGAATCTTGCTCTTTGCTCCAGATACATCACATGCAATAATGAGATTCGTTTCACCGGGTACATTCTTTGCTCCGATATATGTGCGTCTCATAAAGTCCATCAACGACGTGAGCGCCTTTATTTGCGTTTCCTCAGAAGCCTGTTGGGTGTGCCGGAGTAATTCTGCAAACAGTGCGGGCATGTAATAAAGAATTACAGCTTGTTCACCTTCCAGACCGCTGTGATTAAGCTCTTTGATGAGTTCAGCTCTATGATTATCTGGGAGGCCGAGAAGGGCCTTGCGGAAGCGTTCTGCCAAGTCGATATCTGCTACCCTGCCCATTGCATACAAACGCAAGAGGGCCCGATCTTGCTTTTCGTCTGTTGACAACTCTGGATAACCCTTGTCAGATAAGATACGGCCTCGATTTTTTAAGACTTCATTGTAGGCTTCCTGAATAGTGATCTCTTTGGATATGACGCGCTTCAGGATCTTATAAGTAAGTAGAAATGATTGGCAGACTGGTTCAATCATCCGGACTGAACCACAAGCATCAACATGCGCCCCTGCGCCAGCCACGTCGAACATGATCTCAAGATATTTCAAATCAAAGGCGCTTTCCTGGCCTCGAAGATCTTGGAGACACTGCAGGCTCCCTGGAACATTCTCACCTTGGGCTAGCTGTGGGATATTGAGCTTGGCACCAAGTCTCACTCCTCTAATTACATCATCACGTTGAGGAGGCGGCAGTAAATCCAATGGAGAGGGAGACTCGATGATGTTCATTTCAAGGGCCCTTTCGAGAACTGTATCGTGATTCATTTCCTCGTCTGATGGAGTCTTGACTTGAGCTCGCACCTCTTTAGCTAGCTTATCGTCTTTACCCACGTCACCTATGACCAGAGCCACAATCAAGGCCATCAGCCAACCCGGCTCTTTTCGGAACCGGTCAATGAAATTGCGAAATTCCTCAAAAGTCTTTATCTTTAACTTTATGGGTCCTTTTTGATGGCAAGTAAAGGTGTGATAATCCCCAACGAGCAGCCATCGCACCGCAAGAACATTAGTCAAGGTTCGATTCACCTCTGAGTAATCTTCGCCGTTGAAAAGATACCGGGAGGGGGTGAGATTATGATCATTTTCATCGCGTTTTCCCTGAACGCCTGCCCGGGTTAGTAATCCTTGGGGATGCGCATCATCTCCCTCAATATTTTGTTCGACATTCTTGAGTCTGTCGATCACCGGTTCAAATTGTTGATACAGGAGATCAACCAGTCGTTCGTCACTAAGTGATTCGAACTTTCCCCTGTCAATCACTTCTTTCAA